ATTAATATTTTTGGATACATGACTTTTCTCAATCTTTCTCGACGATAAGTGTCGTGGATCTCGTCTGACTAAGGCTGTATTTTCTCAAAGATTACCACGTGAACTGAAACTTTTCCGTAAATCTTTCTTCCTAAAAACTTGGATCAAGTCAGTATCTGGGCAACTGCGCACCTACCCCTCCCTTAAGCCAACAACAGTCCACACATTTCTAAAACAAACTCTTGTCCCAAAGACAATCTGTTGCTTTCGCCATTGTTTCCTTTATCAAAGAGCTGTATGCATAATGAAGAATGGGGCTGTGCGGAAATCTTGCAGAATTTGTTTCGTCCTTTAATAGTTTTGGAGTATTTTTTCTGAGTAAAAGAATAGTTTCTACAGTGCCATACTTTCTGATTTTTTTCCTCTCTTGACACACGAATTCATCATACAGAATGTTTTGTTTTTTCTTCTTGATTAGCTGGCTGAGCGTGCAATTGTAAAACTTCGTGGTAAACTTATGCCGTAATGCCCACTCATTGGTTGGAGTCGTTCATCCATATTCATCAGAAATTATCAAATTTTATGAAACCACTCTGACCAGCGAAGAGTAAAGACGTGCGTGTTCTAGTGCTGAAGATAAAGTTAAACTCTGAAGGAACAAGGCTCTTGGTCTTCAAGGAGGAACAATGGAAACCATTCTTGTGATTCTACAACAGAAGGTGAGCAATCCTTCGGAAAATATTGCCTTTAACTTTTTCAGAAAGCTGAGTAAATCACAGCTTATTTGTTGAAACAGTTAACACGTGTCAGTTGTTTGGATGAGCAGCTCGTCAACTCGAAGTTTATTTGAAAAAGGGTATCAGCATTTGCTGAAGTAGAATCTATGCCTCGTTGAAATAAAGTGCAATATAAATTCAATGGTCTCCTCAGGTGGAACGCAAAAGCCAGGATACTATATGTCAGATTTATAAGAGACACGACGTTTTTCAGCGAAGACTTGTCTACCAAGTTTCTCCTTATAATATTTTTATAGCGTTATGTAAAAGAGATAAAAACAAAATATTCATTACAAGCAATATTTTTTACTCTAAGAAAGATTCAGAAAGTAAGCAGTTACTGATGGCTCTGTTAATTTATATTTCAGGAAGAGGAACGTTGTCGAATTATCGGAAGAATAAAGAATTTGGTCAAGAGAAGACGATGATATCATCGAGTTTAAAGAGGATAAAGCAAAGATAAGAACTTTTAAATTATTGAATAATTGTAGCAAAAATGGTGGCTCCTTAAGTATGCTCTATAGCTCTATCATGTTTGCAAGATGACTTCACTCTTCATCAGTTGTTTGATTTTGTTCATCTTTCACTGGGGAAAATGGAACAGGATTATTTGGTGAGTGTTCAATAGAATACGTGCGTCGAGCCACCATTTTTGAACTAATTGTAATGGTACCGATTGTTATGCAAACCTCGAGCGATCACACGACTCATTCATTTATTTCTAAAAGTAGGTTTGACTTGGTGTAATTTATCTCGGAAATTTTCTTGTTTATCACCATAACTGAACTACTAACAATTGGACATGGATATCAATTTGACTGAAGGTATTGAAGATAAAAGTAGTGATGCCAAAGGACTGATCGCTCATTTTTGTGTGCATAACAATTAGTATCTTAAAAACACCTTTGTTGGTGTCGCAAAATGGTGATATTTGTTAAGATGGCATTGCAATAAAAGAGGTCGGGAAAATTTTAAACAAAATTCTAAACTTCGTTATCAAACTTGAATTTTTCTTGACTTGAAATACTCAAGCGGCTGAGACTCTACTCAGGATACACCTTAAAGCACGAACTTCTTTTAACGACTGATTTTGAAACATCAGAAAAACAGAACCCTTCCAACGACTTCTTCACGACATAAACAAACCAAACATAACGACCTGACTCAACTGAAGGATGGAAACTGACTCGTATGCCGGGTTGACAAAAGGCAGTCGCTGTTGACGACAAAAGTTCACTGAAATGGGACTACAGTCGACGATCAATATACACGATCCACTATCTAAATAATCGACAAATTTTATTGCTTTGTTTTTGTCATTTAATCCATCGGAAAGGCTGTAAAAAAAAAAAAAAGAAAAAAAAAACTCCACGAAAAATTGAAGAATTAAGGACAAATTTGATATATGATGTTTCATACCTGGAATTTTTTCAATTACGAGTCAAATATTTTTAAAAAGTGGCCTCTTTTCGGTCAATTTTGAAACCGAATCCAGTTTAGTGCCATCTTAATACCTGCATTTCCTGTTTTGTTGCATTAACTAAGTTGGAATCAAGAGAACATTGGCTGTAAATTTGCGACATGATCCCAAACGAAGAACTGTACCCTGCAATAAGGTCTAGATAGTTTTTTTTTTGTCGTTTCGTATGCACCAGTGTTCTCTTGTCACTAAGGTTTTATCATTAAAACTCAAATGCCTGGTTACAGGTGATTTTAAACAAAATTCGATTTCTACGAGACTTGTCGTTGCATAAACCAGCTTTAAAATTACGTTTTTGTTTTCGTTTTCGTTTCGGATGAAGAAATATTTTTTTGATCTCAAGTAATCAAATTTTTCGTGGTGTTACCTTAATTGTTCCTAATAGCTTTTAGATTGCATTGGAAAAAGAACGATTTTAACATGAAGGCTTATTTGTTAATAGACACCACTGACCAAAGGTAATCGTTGTCACTTCGGCCCAAAGAAATATCGATTTTTACTTCCTGAGGACATTTTTTCGGATCCAGACAAATGTACTAAATTTGTACTCGTAGGTACCATAAAAACAAGATCTTTTTCTTAATAATTTTGGCGAGAAATTTACCTATTTATGACGAAACGTTTAATGACCATCACTGCTCTTGGTGATTCTAAATTTTCTTCGACCAAACTGCCTCTTAGATTCATACGAGTTTTTTCTTCTCTTGTTAAAGCTCGGCGAGTTTAAATCATGACTTTGCATCGATTATCTCCTTGCTGGTTTATGTGACACTTTCCTAAATTTGAACCTTCGTGTTATTAGCCAAAATTTTCGAATCAGTTGGACTTGACATAACCAATCCCAAGTCATTCTGTAGACCAGGTATTTGGGTTAACAATGTAACTTAGTTTACAGTACTCTTAGACTAGAAGAAGGAGGATCTTTAGTGCTTCCATGTCGGAGTAACACAGGAATCCCTACAAGTCACAAAATTTATTGGTTTTGATTTCAAATTTCTCACGCAATTACACAAATATAATTTTTTTTTCATCAACTGGTGAAAACTGAAGTTAAATAAATCAGTCTAATTGCTTTTGTGGCAAAACAAGCTTTCAAGTTAAACAATTTGCCCCGGGAATTCTGAAAATTATCTGCTATTTTTCACTTAACGCATTGTGAAATTTCTTAGCTCTTCCAGCTAAAACAATTAACTCCATTGACTTGCAATATTTCTCAAATTGGCTTTTTAAGAAAGTTTTTAAATTCAGATAAGGTCTTATTTCAAGGACTTGATTGAGCAAGGAACGCGAGGTATATATATTTTGGCTCTTGCGACTTAAAAAACAAAATGAAGCAATTTTTTCCTAAAATCGAGAATTCTTTTCGCTGCCTGTAAATGGTTCAAGAATTTCAGATCAAAACATAGGATAACTTTTACATTGTATCCAATCTTTTTCCTGTGTTACATTCGAAGTTTGGTTGCTTTAAAGATATTTTATCTAGAAAAAAAAAGCATCATGGCAAGTGTTCGGGTTTTGAAGAAAAGTATTTGGGTAAATTGAAAATACAATTATTGAAAACAATTTAATTTCGGCGATAAATTCTGAATGAGTTACCGATACCTTGCCAAGGTGCTTTTCTGTATTTAACATCATCTCGTGCGGAAAACTGTATTTCGATGTAAAATTTTATGCGGGAGAAAATATTTTCGCACGAGATATTGTTTAAATAAGTTTTGGCGGGAAATATGAAACGACACCTGTTTAAATTTTTGCTGAGAATGTTGCCAGGGGAAACGCTGTGCAAATTGACCCAAATTTTCCCGCCAAAAGTCTTAGTATATGTACGAAAAATTTTCTTGGACACCTTTTTGATTAATTCAATTAACTTGTAACTAATAAAATGTGATTTACAACATTGTTTATTGTGTGAAGACAATAAAAGACTGATCACTTCATTGACTTGTTTATCACAAAATACAAGAGGACGATCAGTGTATAAATGACAAGTTTATTTAACAATATAAATGATATTAAAAAAAAAAAAACCGGCGCATGCGTATTTTAGAGCACCGTATTTTTCTAAGTCTTTTGGCGGGAAAATTTTCCGCATTTGAACAGATGTTACTTACAGAACCAATTTTTTTAAAAAAAAGGCGCACGCGTATTGTGAGCACCGTATTTTTTTTTTTTTAGTTTTCGGCGGGAAAATTCAAAACTTTTAAACAGCCCTTGACTTAAATTTTTTTTACAGTCCAACACCAAAGCGAATAAACTGTCAGCGATTTTGGCAAAAATCAGTGGTAGCTCTCTCTTGAGTGAGATGCGCTAAATCTGTCTGGTACCACTAAGTAAATCATCTTCCTTTTGAATCGTAGACTTGCTTGTTTGATTCGTCACCTGTCAGTCTGCAAAATAATGAAATCATAAAAACAAACGTTAACTCAACACATACAGTGGATCTTAAAAGTCGCTTCTTAAAGCGATTATAATATGGATGGGTCGTTACAAAAAAAAAAAAAAACAACATCGAACTTACTGAGTAATGTTGGACGAGAATAAATCCATTGCCTAAATACTAAGAGATGATTGTTTACATAGGGTCGGGTGTAGCTTAGGCAGCTTAGATTTGTCGATAAAAGAAATACGATGGATGATAAATATTTCAACGAATTCATTAATTTTTCTTTTTGCTATCGTTGTTTTTCGTATAAACCTTGTATTATTTCAGCAGGTTCCATCATTACCTGCACTAGTCTGTGGGGTTTCCATTATTCAAATTTGAGGCGCCAGGTTTTATTTTTGCATTTAAACAACTAACTCAATGTTCGTCAGCAATATTCCTCTAGGTCCACGACGGAATTCAAAGACGAAAAGTGTGAGTTACATTTTTTTTTCTTAGTTTGGAAAAGACATTTAAATCTATGAGCAACCAGAAACCGTTTTCTTCTTCTTCATCGTTTTGAAAAATGATATTGAAAATTAACATAACAAAGCCGCAAATATTTATATACGTTGGAAAACGTCTAGTCGCACCGAACGGATATAACCCGTTGCCCAAGGTGTGAATAATATTTGACACAGATAGATATATAGTTCATTTGAGTAATCAAATTCGCAGACTCCTAAGGCTGAATTGCATGAATTCGCCATAAGTTAGAGTTACATACAATTCATAAAATAATGAAATGATTAGAAAAAAAGCTACGTATAAAAGTTCTACCGATTGGACATGGATGGAATAAATGTGTTCGTGTAACGATTAGTGCGCATTTCGGGCAAAATAGAATGCACTGGTTGCGAAAATTGTATCTACTAATGTTCTTGGTTAGTAGCAGATGATGGAGTTTATGCGCGGTATTAGATACGACTGAAACAAAGAGTTTATAACACTTTTCTTGTAAAATAACAATCCCTAAATTCGTGAGCCACGTTTTCACTATAAAAAGCTACAAAATCTTAGTATAACAAAATTATTTTTTTTCAAATTAATTTTTCGAAAGCGACTTAGGTGAAATTTGTTCCCCTAAATAGTTCAGCTGAGACTTACAGGCCGGTAAATTTAAATCATTTAAACTGTCCCTCACTGGAATCATTTGATCTATTTCTTTGAGGAATTCTCAACCGTCGCTATGATAACTTGGTAGGTCAGTATTAGAAAAAAAAACAGATGAAATGATAGAACTGATTTGTCGAATCAAGAGTGCTGTAAAATACTGAAAACCACCTCGAGTGGAGATCCAAGAAATGAAATATTGGAACAAATTGGATTCATCGTGTCTGTGGTTTTCCTTCGTTTCTTCCGCTGGCTAGCTTTCAATTGTGGTTCTCCATGTAAGGTGAATTTGTATAACAATCAAATGCTTATTCAGTTGGTGATCATTTCATATGTGTGATTAATGTGTGATTCATCATTGTAGGGAGAAATGAGATGTTAATCACTCCTAACGGTTAAACGGTTAAGAGTTCAGTGCAGACCAGACTTACAAGCGCAGACAGTAAAACTATTACTAAAAACATCAAATGACTAACCTTAGTTGGAGTCATCAACCTGTTTTTGCTTTCATCATATCAATGTGTCATGTATAAGTGAAAAAGGATGAAGTCCTTCGTTTTTTTTTTCTTGAATTCACTGCTTTTCTGTTGTTATAACCTTATGCTTGAAGCTGTCTCTAGAAAGATAAAAATGAGAAATACAGTGTGAAAAAATTTTTACCTATCTGTTGGTAAGAGAAAGGTCACTATGTATCGTCTGGGAAGGGGGAAGTCGAAGCATTTTTGTTGTGTCACGTACGATAAAATTTACCCGATCCCCCCATAGGGCTATGTAACATTCCTAAGAACTCCCCCACACTGGCAAGAAATTGGCATTCAATTCTCTTTAGTTCTCCCTTTGTACTCTGTTAGCAACGACTAATCCCCTCCTTTCCATCTGAAAACCACATGGTCCCCCCAAAATTCTCCGATTCCCTCCACCCCACCCCCCTCCGGTAATGAATAACGTCAGGTCTTAAAGTACTTTTGTCTTGAGTGATAAAGATTTACGCGAAGCAATTCAACTCAATCAGAGCCACTACGTTGCATTTGAAAAGTTTCAGTGTTTTTGATTACCAAGACGAAGGCAACCAGAAATTTTGACACAATGATTTAAAGAATCTTAAACAAACAAACACACACTAAAAAAAGGGAATCCACGTGCAATGTTATTTGTCACGCTAAGCAAGCCATTGACATGGCAATTTGGAAAGACAGAAAGACATATTTAATATCAAAATGATACTGGTATTTATGAATAAGCAAAGCTTGAAAATGGTGTATAGTAACGGAAAGAGATTAGTAAATAAGCGATCCATAAACCAACGATAAAGTAGGAAATTCTCGCTTTTGCTCGAACAGCCACGCGGTATAAGAGGAACTGTCATGGCGGCTGCTAATAAAGATTTGTCCTAGACTGTACTGTGTGCAACAAGCCATTTCGTTGCTACTCTTATCTCGGCAATTTTCAATCCAACAAAAAGTATCGAGAAGTCTGTATAACTATTCAAAATTAATTTTTTACTAAGTTTATTTACCTTGAGAAAATTCGTGACAAAATGACATCCACCACTCCTCGACAACTAATTCAAACAGCTCGGTCCAATCTCGGAGAACACTCGCCAGTTTTTAAAGCCAAATGGAAGAAACCCATAGTAATTAAGTGCAAATGACGTGTTTCTTGGCCCCAAAGTAGCTAAAATAAGACACAAACTTTCCACAATTCGTAAACTCTTTCCACGTGCAAGACTGATCGAAGTTATGAATATTGATGTACAAAATTATTTGTAATTCAAATAAGTTTACCGACTTTGAAAAGTAAAGCCGGGGATCGACGAGCTGTTCAGTCAACTCAGTTTCATTCAGCAGTAAAACGAGAAAGGAGATCTGGCTAAAGGCCAGTTTAAAATTTTCATTAAAGTTTAGTCAATAGAGAGGTGCAAATGTCATTTGTGTTGATGAAATAATGACTCAAATTCAGATGGAATCCAATCTTATCTCAATCTATTAAATTTTTTGAAGCTAAAGGTTTCTTAACGAAACAATTTTTCATTATCAAACTAAGGAGTTTTCCTGGCGGCTGCATTGGTCGAGAAAATATTTGAAGGACAATAACTTTTACCTGACTTCATTTATTTTGGCTCGACAATTTTTTTTTTGCGTACAATATCTTTATTTGGCTTTAAAATATTATGATGAAATAAAGCGTCAAATAATTCTAAAAGTGTTAAAAGCTCGTCAACAAGACGATGTTTTGACGTACAAATTAAGTGATTGTCATGTCAATAGATATGAGCCAATATTTATTGGCTCAGCAATTACGTTTTGTAGCACATCGAATCGTCGTTGTTTTTCAAAGGTTTTTAACTATTTCGATTTTGAGTAATTGATTTTAAACCCAAATGTTTGAGGAAATCGCTCTTTATCAGAAATTTTATTAAAATTGGAAATTGTGTCGTCGTTCAATGATTAATGATAAAACGTTGTGATAACTTTCACCTTAAAAACATTCGAAAAATCAGCTGGTGAGCTTAAGAAAAAAACAAGATAGGAAACGTACTTCATTAATAATTTGCCAGAAATTCATAGAAATTAGCTTTTTGGGTAAAGGTAATTATCAATACTGTAAAACATGGAATATGAAATTAAACAGAAAGTATCTGCAAGGTTGACGGAATACAAAGGTTTTCTGTGAGAATTCACGCCTGCTATCTTTGGTCCTAAGGACGCTTTTAGCAACATAACACCTGGGTGATCTGAATGAAAATATTCCCCTTCAATATGCAAATACAGAACCACTTTAAGAATACTACTGAGATTATTTATCTCTCGTCGAAACGCAAAAACATTTGCAAATAAGGAGCACAATTAGTGTCAGTATTTATAAACAGTTCGTAACTGTGCCAATAGCTTTTTGCCGGCTTCGGATGGGTTGATTTCAGTGGTTGTGTTGAATGTGTAAAGTGAAGATTTTTCCTTGGAATTACAGTAAATATGGATAAACTGTATTTACAGGGCGAAGAGATGACTTTCACGAGGAGTGATATAGACGTTGTTTTGCCATCCCTTGAAAATTCAACAAAGAAAAAGTTTAACAGTTCATTTTGTGCGGAGCAAAGACGATTCGAAAATCTGGAGAGACAAATCCAAATGGAGAAACACGAAATGTCTCAACGGCTGTCGTTGGAAAGAAAAGGCTTTCTACGGAGTAATTTGCTTTTTAGGGAACGAAGTGAACTGTCTTCGAGACGAAGTTCAGGGAGTAGGGGCAGAGAACATAAAATGAACTTCAAAGAATCAAGGTCCCCCGAAAAAGCCCAAGAAAAACATGTGGTGGCTGTTGACGAAGATAAGCCGCCGCCATTGGAGAGATCACCATATTATTTCCCACCTTTGTACCAAAACGTCGAAAAAGATTTAAAACAAAAACAAACCATGCAAGAAAAAGTTAAAATAGCCAAGAAAGAACCGGTTGATACAGAAGCCATTAAGAATTGCCGATATTTGCGACTCAGCACTGCACAAAAACGTGAAATTGAAACCGAGAAATCTGCATTTGAATCAGAATTCTAAAAGTAATTCGGATGACAATGTTTTGACACCTAAATTGCCCTAAACGTATAAATCGTTTTCGGTTGTAGTTAAGCTGTACACACAGCCTGAACTACTTATTTATTTTGGCAATATCATAGTATGAAGTTCATCTAGATTTAGGCGGATTTTAATGGCAAACAATTACTTTGTTTACAAAAAAATCTAAAGATGTAATTACTGTGACCAGCTGAGAATGACCGCACTGATTTGTGGGCTATGGATTTGATCGCCCGTCGTGCGTGTCTGGTGTTGGAAAACAAGGTTTCAATCTTATTAAAATTTTTTTGTTATTTTCAAAACAGTTGTTTACATTAATAAAAAAAAATTCCAAAAAACAATACTGAAACAAGTTATATTCTAATATTTGGCCAAATCATACTCAGTTTGCCGGGTATCCTACGTTTCTGATTATTAAACATGACTGTTGTCATGACAGCGTTTGAATTTCGCGTATCCACGATTCAAAAAGGAGGAAAAGCATTCATAACAGTCAGGGTTCTTCAATGAATGAATGATCTACCTGTCAAAACATTTCGTAAAGGAAGTATTTGTCTTTCGGATGTCTTAGACTGCATTTTGTTCATGGTTTTCTGTCATGTTTTTTATTTTGCGGATCAGGGCTTTCTTGTTTTAACATATCCGCTATCAGTTTATTTATCTTGAAAATGAGCGTTTTATCATGAAATATACGCTATCGTAAAGGGGTCGCAGGGTAACAGCAGATTCAAGAGCAAATGAAGGTTTCAGAAGCTTAGCAGTGAATTTAATAAGCATCATATGACAAAATTTTTCTGAATCCCGAGATACCGTGAGTCATACTAACACAGGAAAACTTCAAATATCGAGGTAAAGATAGTTGACTTTATCTGGTCTTCTCATATAGTTGTAGCTATGAACGTTTTTGTCAGCCATGTCTCTCTGCCTCCTGATAGTGGCAAATTCTTAAAACTACCTGGAGAAACTGAGTTGGAAACAAAGCTTTTAATTGGACATTATTCACTCCTTAAAGGATTTCATTTTCTTTCCATGGCCCCATACAAACATCGACACCACACTTAGTGATAAACGGCTTTAAACCATTAATTCCATTTGTGTCTAAAAAAATTACCTCTTGAAAAAAGCCCGCAAAGATCTAAGACCATAAATACATCAATGATGTTGCTAATAAGTCGTTTTAGGGAATGGAAAATCTCCCCGTTTTTATTCGTGATGTTTTAGTCGTTAAAATGACTACATTACACATAAAAACTGTTTTTGTCGATCATTAATATCAACCAGACAGATTTATTCCTGATATATTTTTTTTTGTTTGAAATCTTCTGAAGTAAACAGGAATTTTGGAATTGTAATTTCCATCTGAATTTTCATTACGGCGTTTCATTTATTTTACCGCCATATCCTTTAGCAGTTCTCTGAGATCCTTTGTCTGGAACAAAGAGGTGTGATTTAACTATCTGTGGTCGTGTTTGTATTAAGATAATTGGATAGAAATATTAAATTAAACGCAACGCATATTTAAAGTTATAAAACGTATTTGCAGCTGGCGTCTTCCAGTCACAAAAAACTGATGGTTTGCTTTCAATATCGTCTCGGATGTCATCTGAAAATTCACCGATTTCCCTTTCTTTCCAAGGTAATTTCAGTGAATCTTACCTTTATGGTTAACCATAATATTTTATGTATTGCAACGCGTAGAATGTATATTATAGCAGCATGTATATATTTTTCACGGGCAGTTCCGTCTTGATACGAACAGTAAATCGTTACAAAAGAGTAATCAAAGCTGTTTTAAATCAGTTTTCATATTCGTTCGTGGTATGCATTTTGCTTGATTTTCCTCACTTTAAGGGCTAAATTTTTCAGTGGGGAGATATGCGGAGAAGAAGTTAATTTGAAGACTTTGATTTCGGTTTTAAAACGCTTCCTGCGCTTCTTGAAATTCCATTTTTATCAAAAAGCAATGCCGAAGATAAATAAAATTTGAAATTGGATATTACCACTTTCTGCTCACGCGATTTCAACAGGATGAACAGAAAAAGCATGTCGATTTTTCTCGTACTTGCCGAAGAAGTTGTGTCCATAGGAACCAAAACTTGTTTATACCGGTTGTATAATTGTGCGCCCTTATAAAGAATAATATTCTAAAACTGTCAGAACTCATTTTGCACTCGCATTGAAGAGAACCTTAGCGAAAATGATTATAATTCTAAGAGGGTTATTTTTCAGGCCTTTCACCGCAGCCTGTTTATGTCTTATTTTTCTAATGACTGTGTGTATTAAATGTGAAGGTTAATCTGATTACGTGCACTAATACTAGCAGCGACTAAGGACAATACATTTTATAAACAATTGATTATGACTGATAGGAACAGCCAGCCTTGAATACATAATTATAGTATATCGTACCTGAGTGACAACGCACGGAGACCAACACGTCATGTCATTTACAAGACGTGATCTGTTTCAAATTTACCAGACGTTAGCTCATTTTTGAGTGTGTTATTTATATACAGGACAAAGCGGAATAAAGTCAAATTGTATCGCACGTGAAAAATAAAACTGAGATAGAAGTGCTTTGTAAAGTTTCATTTTCAATATTTGGTCGGTTACTAGGAAACTAGGAGGTGCAGCCCTGAAATTCGAAAAAATTTTCAAAAATATCCAGTAGTTCAACAGGGTAGTTTTGTCTTCATGCCCTCTTCAGAGTGAATTTTCAGAGTAATTTTCGATTGAGTCTCAAAAGTTATTAGGATTGCTTTAGTTTCACCTCTCTACGCTTTGTGATTAATTCAGAAAACTTGTGCCAAATTTTCAACTAAAACGAACCACCCGTTGGTTACTTCCGTTTCCCCGCGTCCGACTCAGTTTTCTTCTCATTGGCTGTTTTGATGACTCTGGTTTTGGTCATGTGACTCATAGTCGAGAAGATCTTTGTTAACAAGCTGTAAACAATTTATTTGAAAGAGTGAAATGTCATTAATGAAAATATCGAATTCACATGGAAACGCGCTGTGAACATGCAACGATTTAATGGACAAATGCATGTCACATTATTAATTCATTCTTGGAATGATGCGCTATTAGAAGCAATTATCTTTGCAGTAAAAAGGTGTTAAAAGTAAATAGACAAATTTCGAA